TGTTTAAACGAAAAAAAAAATTCTATAAAAAATTTTGACTGAATGTTTTTCGTTAAAAATTTCGATGGGAATGTGTTCTGACGAAAATTTCATCGGAAATTGTTTCGAGAAAAATGTTTCAATCGAATTTTTCGACGAAATTTAGATTCTCTAAAGAATTTTGACAGAATATTTTTTCCGTCAAAATTTATATTGAAATATTTTTTGTCAAAATTTTTTACAAAATTATTTTACAGAAATGCGTTCCGTTGAAAATTTTGATGGAAATATTTTTTATCAAAAAACTTGACAAAATATTTAGTCGAAAATTTTCGATAGAAATGTGTTTCGCTAAAAATTTCGACGAAATTTTTTTGGTCAAAAAGTTTGATGAAAATGTTTTCGTCCAAAACTTTCGCCGAAATTCGAAATATGTAAAGAATCTTGATGAAATTTTTTTCCATCAAAAAATTTCGATGGAAATGTGTTTCGTCAAATTTTTTGATGAATATATTTTTTTGTGAAATATTTTGACGAAATTTACATTCTGTAAAAAAATTTGACAAAAAATTATTCCGTCAAATTTTTTTACATAAATGTTTTTAGTCCCAAATTTTGATGAAAATATTTTTCGTCAAAAATTTTTGCGAAATTTTTTTATGGAAATATTTTTCGTAAAAAAATTTGACGTAATTGTTTTACGTTAAAACTTTTCTTTTAATGTAATTGTGATTTTCTTTTTTTTTCCGTATAATGTGTATGAGTCAAGTTTTGGGTCAATGAGTCAATATTAAAACAAGTCGGGCCTAATACTGACCCAAATAAAAGTGGGGCAGTATTTAAACCAGTTCAAAAAATATAGGTATTTATCGGTCAGGTCAAGGTCGGGTCAAGGGCAGGGCAAGTGAACCAGTTTTTTTGCACACCCCTACCGGTAGTTAGAAGTATTACATTCAATATTGGCCATTGATCTACTTGTATCCAATGACTTACATTACTCAAAAATTAGAGCCCTTAGATATAAGTGAGATCAATGGACCAGTTTAATTGTGTAAGTTACACTGGTGTAAAATGATCCTGACATATATATATATATATATATATATATATATATATATAATATTAATATTTCTCATATTGTAGGAGATAATTTTATCTTCAATACATACATAAAGATATATGAGACTCATATTTTCTTTTTCTCTCTCTTCTCTTCACATGGACCCCACACATTTTTTTTGTATGTATAGATAAAATTATTTTCTATAAAATAAAAAATATTAAATCCCATATATATATATATATATATGTATGGGGCAATATGTCTCTCTATTAGGCATGTGCATGGGTCGAACCGAACCGGATTTTTTGAAAAATCGAACCGAATTGATTTAAATGGTTCGGTTCGGAACCGGTTCGGGTCGACCCTCTTTTGAAAAGAAAAAAAATTAAAAATTAAAAAAATAAAGTTATAAAAATCAATTTTGTTTGGTTTGAAAACGGTTAGGTTCGATTTGGAAACGGTTCGTTTCATTAAGTGGTTCTTTAAAAATCGGTTCGGTTCATGAATTGATTTTTAAAAACTGATTATTTTAAGGGCTGTGTGGTTCGGTTCATGGTTCTGTTCAGTTTTTTGGTTATTTTGCACACCCCTACTCTCTATCAATGTTATAAAATCCGGCCGATCCGGAAACCGATGAACCGATCATGTAATCGGTCTGATTTTCATATTGGACTGGCCTTGTTACAGAATCGGTGTGACCGGGTGCGACCCGATCGGTTTACGTAAAAATCGGTGACCCGGTCGGTTCAACCGGTGACCCGACCCGGTCTATAAAAAAAAAACTAATTTATTTTCATAAATTAATATTTTTTTTATACTCTCAAACACAAATGATTTGTTTTCTTTTAAAATATTTGAGTGATTTGTAGCTTATTAATTTACATAGATTATGTACCTACAACACTAATATTATCTTGATTATGCAATATGCAAAGAATTTTGATTTGATTTATAGTTAGAGATTTTGTTTATTGAACCTGAAACACTAGTATCACAAATATTATATGTTTGATTGATCTTTTGTTTGACAATGATGTGTAATTTATTATTTTTATATTAAAATATTTAAAATTAGTATATTTTTTTACAAGTATTTAAGTATATTTATAATTTTTTTAATATAAATTATAAATTTACATATACTTATCGAGTCATGCGATTGAAGCAGTGATCCAATATCTTGACTGGGTTAATAACCAGGCCGGGTTTAATAACATTGCTCTCTATAATAGAAGAGATTTTTTTGTCTCCGAATGAGACAAAAAATTGTGGGATCGACGGAGTAAAAAAAAAAAACAGAATAACACAGCTTTTGATGGGTTTGTAAGTTAAAAATGTTCTCTCCAAGTTGTATTTTCCCATATATGTAATATGAATCATTGTTAAAAACAATAATGACTTGTTATCAAAAATAAATAAATAATAATAATGACTAAAACGGGTGAATAATTTTTTTTTTATAATTTTCTTTCATCAAAACAACTTATTACGTAATTAAGTTATAATGAAAAGTCAAAATCCTCAACGTCGGTGTTATGTAGCAATCAAGGGAGATCAAAATAAGAGAATTTATCATGCATGATGCATCAATGAATTTAAGCGGACTTTTTATAACTCACGTTTAAATTACTAACCGTCGGTAGTATATACTTTTTTGAAAAATAATACTAGATATGCACGTATCAAATCATATTTTTTAGTTTTCATCATTTAATCATATTTAATACTATTTTATTTTTCCTTTCATTTATATTTTAATTTTACCATCTGAACAAGATATGGAATGTGAAAAATCAAGTGACACAGATGAATCACTTTCCGTTTCAAATTATCAGGTATTCCTTATAATTGAAGCAATAAAGTAACGTTGACACGTTATCCACTCTACCTTTACGAGGATTATATCATTACAATTTAGAAGGCTCGCTCGTATATATAGGGATTTTGACATTATGCACTCTTCCACTTGTCGGTGCATGCCACGTGGCAGAGTGCACCATGCGCTCGCCCACACTCACATCATGTGCATGTCTTCAAAGGAAATTACAAAAGAAAATATGGGTTAAAATGGAATTTTTTTCTCCTTTTTTTTTTTTAATAAAAAAGAGTACCGAACTCGCATATTGCTTAATTACAACAATAAATTTGGTGTTGTTAGAAATTTAAATGGTTTTTGCAGTGGGCCCATTTTTATTCCAGCTCTATATATACAAATAAATTGTTTTTTTTTTGGAGCTTCCTTATAAAATTATTTTCCACAGCAATACCGAAAAAAAATTTGTACGTGGACGAAGGATTAGATATTCAAAATCCAATGTTAAAGGTTGAAAAGAGAACTTGTTTACAATTGGTGAAGGGAGTAACGAAATAATTACATTTAATATTTTACGAAAAAAGAGTCAAGCACTAATTAACTCGCTTGATACTTTTCCATTAAGAAGCAGTCAAATGATTAAAGTGTTGTTTATGACTCTGATGGCTTTCGTAATTAGTAAACTGATACTTGAAAAAAGAATCATATCATATGCTCTTTTCTTTATAATTTTTTCTTTGTCTCTTGTGTTTATAGTTTTTTTTAGGGGATGGTTTTGGTCTTCTGTCATGTGTATTAGTTTTACATGCGCTGGTTTAACGTGACCCCTTAAAATGTTGCCTTAGGCTATATATATAAGTCAAGCTGTTATAATATAACAGCTGACTCGCTCATCAACCTGGCAACACAAGGCTAAAACTTAAAAGCAAAAACCGAATTCATTGGCATGCGTTCTGAAGAAGGTGACACGCTTGCCACATCCTGACCTTTCATCTCTTCCAGTTGAGCTGTAAACATCGTGATCGCTAGTACTTAGTGCACGTTTGATCTTTATTATTATTTTTGTGTTAACTGCTTAATTAGTGCATATAGCTAGCTAGATGTTAATTACTAATACACCAATTAATTAATTTACAAAATATAACATTAGTATGTGCGTATAGGGAAAAATAATAATAATGATACTAATAAAAGAAACTCGGCTCCCGAGAAACAAAGGAAAAAACCAAAAAGAAAAAGCAGTAGTCTCAGCGACAAACCTGCTGGATCTCTCTACCAAAGGGGTTGAATTTTAACACATAATCACCCTTATATCCCTATATTCCATTTAATTGACCACTTATTACATGTTTAGCTAGCTATCCGTTATTAAAAGTATAGCACTGAGTTTAGCGTTACTTTAACTAATAATGTAATTTTTTACAATGTCCAAATTAAACTGCCATCGCCTATATATATATATATATATATTTTATTTTTTTTAATAGAGAGAAACAAAATATTTAATTATCATGTACATTATCAAAGATTATCATGAGATTCCATTCACTAGCTTCTATATATTATGAAAACTATCATCTCCAATCATGTAAAGGAAGGTTCAAAGCGTCACTATTGATGTACTTGAGTCTTGACATTGGAACATAGTATATATACTAAGACTGTAATAGCATCCGTTGCCTTTTTTCCGTTTTGTTTGAGTAACGCGAGGAAGACCGGGAGGTAAGAAGTAAGAACCCTACATTACGTAAGCGAGAGAAAACTTGCACAACCGAGTGAGAGAAAAAGAAAAAGGGCAGCAAAGTAACTTCAATCACAAATTCTTCTTGTTCCTTTTAACTCAATTAAAGCCTTATATATGAATATTTTATGCTTTATTATTTTGGGGGCAGGAGACTTTTTTTTTTTTTTTTTTTTCACCTTGGCTAGAAAAGAGGGATAAGAAAAAAAAAAAAAAAAAAGGAGTCCAATATAGGTGTCCGCTTGTCCCTTTTAAACGCAAATAAACCCTCTTCTGCTTTTCTCTCTCTGCACTCAAAACCACAACTTTGTCACACTTTGTGTCTCCAACTCCCTATACTTTCTCACTTCACCCTCCCCCGTAACATTTTTGCTTCCACTTGCAAACTCGTATTCGTAGCAGCCATGGAAGCACAAGAATATTTCCAGACAAGCTTCTGCCCACAATTCCCCTCAGACAACATGACAACCACCAACAACGTCAACGCCTCTTCCGACCACTTCATCGTCGAGGACTTCTTCGACTTCTCCAACGACAACGACGAGGCTGCCATTACCGACCCCACCTTTGATTCTCTTCCCGCCAACTCAACCGATGATTCTCCCACCGTAACCCCCGTCGATAGCACCAGCAATTCCTCCTCCTGCCACCCCAATTTTGTGGCCGACATTGCCGACGGCCATTTCTCCAGTGACCTCTCCGTCCCGGTACACACGTGTCTCTAATATTTTTTTATATTTATATATACATCATATATTTCAACCAACAAACACAACTCATGCCCATGTGTAACGTCCATAATTTCCCAGCTACGAGAGTCTCTTGGTTTTTTTTTTCAATTGATAAGGAACGTCCAACACATACAACAATTCCCTTGTCTTTATTATCCTCACACCCTTTGTTTTGTTTCCAAGAATTTCAGGGAAACAAAATTAGGCGCTTTTGTTACTGTCCCAATTTCGTTTTCTTGCCACATTTTTTTTTGTTTCTCATCCACTAAGCGTTAATTTGCAGAGCATTGGAAAGATAAATCCTCGTTGTTCTCTAGTACTAAATAATAATAATAATAATGTTTTTAGTTTTTGAATTTTATGACATGAGCTGCCTAAGCCTAATTGCAGCTTTAAGCTAAGTAAATAACATTATATGATGTATGTATTGGTTAATTATATTATTAGATACTAAAATTTGTGGTTAATAATTTGGCGAACAGTATGATGATCTTGCGGAGCTGGAATGGCTTTCAAAATTTGGGGAGGAATCATTTTCGAGCGAGGACTTGCAGAAGCTGCAGCTGATATCTGGCATGAAAGCGCCAAACGACGCCGCATCGGAGACCCGTGAACCCAACCCGGTATTCAACCCACAGGTGTCGGTTCCGGCCAAGGCCCGCAGCAAGCGGTCCCGTGGGCCCCCATGCAATTGGACCTCTCGCCTTCTTGTCCTCTCCCCATCGACCACCACGTCGTCTTCTCCCTCCGACCCCGTCGCCACCCCAAAGAAGCCTGCGCCGAGGAGGAGGGACACCGCCGATGGAGGGGATGGCCGCAAGTGCCTGCATTGCGCCACGGATAAGACCCCCCAGTGGCGGACTGGGCCCATGGGCCCAAAAACTCTCTGCAATGCTTGCGGCGTGAGGTATAAGTCGGGCCGGCTGGTGCCCGAGTACAGGCCCGCGGCGAGCCCAACTTTCGTGCTAACGAAGCATTCCAACTCGCACCGTAAGGTGATGGAGCTCCGGCGTCAGAAGGAGACGGTGAGGGCCCAGCAACAACAGTTGCTGCAGCTGCAACATCATCAGAATATGATGTTTGATGTTCCATCCAACGGTGATGATTACTTGATCCATCAGCACGTAGGCCCCGATTTCTCGCATTTGATCTAGTACCCACATGTCTTAATTTCCTATCTAATTTTGCTATAGATTTATTTTCTTCTAATTAGTAACTTGAAATTTTCAATTTATGTTCTATGTAGACTGCTACACTTCTTCAAGTCATTATTTAACAGACTTGAAAGATCACAACTCAAAATTTTCCTAATGAAGTTTTTTCTTTCTTTATTATTACTAGTAAATTATATCACAATAATTGGGTAAATGATGATTTATATCAAGAGAGTTAAATTCTTATTGTGCGATATAAGTTTTATTACTGATATAGGAGTTTTTTTTTGTGTGTGTGCGCGCTCCAATGTCTATAAAAATTAGTATTAAAAAATACAAAATGAAATATTTTAATTTCCTTATATATATCATATATTTATGGTGAAGAAAATTCTTTACAAGAATAACTGGGCTGCTTGATAAACAGTGATTTTTCGTGGACCACTTCAAGGTTTTGCTTATTCTTATAAATATTTTCCTGCAAAATAACTACGTACGTTCTACGTTGTTGATATAACGATATTCGAGCAATTAAAGAGGTGAACTACCACATACGGTACCACGGGAAGACTCGTAAATTTGGAACCTGAAAAAAAATGCTAAAAATAAATTGTATATGTGCTATTTCGTATGACCAACGATAAGTATTAATGAGGTACGTAGAAGATATCACGACACTGTGTACAAAAAAAAAAAATCACGACACTTTAATAATAATTAACTGATAAAATAAAAATCACATACTAGACTTCCCACGTTCATTCATCATGTCCGCGCATTACTGGTGAAAAATCTACATGCCAGTCATGTTCCTGAGTAGTCAGCACAATTTTTCAGTTTTAGGTAAATGTTCCTTTCTCTTCTTTTTATTTGTTGAATGAAATTTTAAATATTTATTATTAAATAAGAATTTAGTATGATTAAATGAGAAGGAGATCTACGCCAATTTCAGTGAAAAAGTGGTGATTACTGATTAGTCCGTTGAAGTTACAGAGAGAATGTTAAGAGAAGCAAAAAGTGGATGCGTAACATGAGAGATTTGATAGTATCTCACATCGTTTTCCGTTACTACTCCGATTTCAGTATCTACCGTATGTGTTCCTTAGTCCCCTTTTTGTGTGTGTTAATTCATCATCATTCAAGTTATCATCTTCGTCTATGAAAGAAGGATTTTGTATTAAACTCAAAGTTATGTGTGTCTAGTATCAGTATATATAAGACTAAACTTTACTTCTTCTTCTTCTTCTCCAAGTGTCAGTGCTTGAAGTTTAATAGCTTGGCGATGCACGTTAAAGATTTTGTTCTTGCTTCCCTCCAATCAAGTTAACAATGCATGTGACAGGATATAGAAAAGGGAAACTTCACAGCCATTTCTCAACCCCTTCCAGCCCCATGTGATTGAAGTGTTTTGAACTAATTAGGTGATTGAATGAGTAATGCGGAGGTAGAAATGGAGAGAGAGTAAAGGAATTTCATAGGTACATTTTATATAATATTGGGTGTGTATGTACGATATCAGGCAACACAAATCCAGAGGACTATTATATCATTATTTAAAAAGCATAACGTCTTCTCAAGTTACTTGTATTATCTTTATTAAATTAATCATTTGAATATAAGCAGCCAAATTGAAATATCAATCTTCTGTCTTTTTTCTTTTTCTTTTGCTGGAAACAATATCTTGTTTATTCAGTCAATATATTTATAAAAAGTCCCAAAAGGGTATGCAGAGAATAAAGCAGAAAAGAAAGGGAGGAGGGGGCGGGGAGTGATTTAATTTATCCCAAGTCTTATATATTTAAAAATAAATGATGGTGTATATTAAATTAATAAATGATGCATTATTAGAGTGAGAGGAAGCTAGGATTGCGGTGGTCACATGACACTCTTCCATGGCCTCATGCAACAGTCACTAGTCAGTGTAGTGGGTTTATGAATGAAGGCTACATATATATTACCACCGCCCACTGGTAAAAATAGTAATTGCTGAGACACCCCACTCCGAGCACAGTGTATAGTTGTATACATATACGGGACACTACCTACATTGCATTTATTTAAGCTCATCAATTTGTTCGGTATTCCACCCCCTCCCTCCCAGGGTTGAATTCGGAGTATTTTTTTCCCCCCCTCATGCAATCTTGACATAATTTATATTTGGAATGATTATGAAGCATTTTTAAATTAAACAGAAACGAAGAGCAATAACCTGCCTAGCTTCTTCTTGCCGTCGAGATGAGAGAGAATAAATTTATGAATTGGGATCAACATATATAATTGATGTAAGATAATAGCAAGGTCAGATAAAGATTCTTTGACAACGCATTTTAATGAAAAATCAAGTCAGCAATTGACAGGAAACTAATAAAGTAACCTTCAAAGTTTTAAGATTTAGAAGAGGTTAAGTACATGTATAAGTTTATTACAATTTTGTTGTCACTGGCTCAAAAAGAGTTTTTCATGTGTCTTGACCTCCCCACACCACACCACACCATTTTGTTGTCATGACCCATTCAGACCCGGCCCGGCATTAACATGATAATATAAAAAAACAGAGGAGAAAGTCCTATCTAATTAAAATGTAACGTTAGATATTCGTGTCTCCATAAGTAAGCCATACCAGTATCTTTGACCGAGTTGTAGAAACAAGGGGAAGTTGCTTGAACCCATTCCAATTTCCACAAATTAAATAAACAACCCTTTATATATAAGGTTTTCGTTTTATTCTTTAACATAACACAACAAACTTTCTTACACTCACAACATTATGTGGGGCCTACACTTTTTAAAAAAAAAAAATAAATAAAAAATTAAGACACGCAAAATGAATCTCTATAACATTACACAATCATTTTTCCTACAGCATAACTCTTATAAAACCCTTATATATATACACTGTTACGATTATGGCTACATGCCAAAATGGCATTTAAATATGCAGGACACCACGTCAATGACCTTCGAATAAAATGATAAGAGTTTAGCTGCATGGGGTATTCAAGTCTTTTCCATTTCATGAAAAGTTCATGCTACCTTAATTTCATAACCACGAAACCCTCCAAATGAAGAAACCCACGCATAATTTTTTTTTTAATTAAATATCTTTTTCGGTATTCATCAAATTTTACGATGCTCACTTTAGTCCCTAACAAATAAAAAAATTATTCGTGGACCATAATCGATGCTTTTAAGGGAACCCATTTTAGTTCTTTTAAGGGACTAATGTGGATCTTTTTTGAATTTGTGAGAAATCACAATTTTAACTAAATAAGTTCATTTTAAATTTCTTAAGGACCACAAATAATCTTTTTATTTGCTAGAAACTAAAGCGGATATCGTAAAATTTGCTGAAGATCAAAAAAAATATTTACTCTAATTTTTTTTTTTTATTCCATGACCTAATTATTCTTTTGGTGCGAGTCAGTTTCCCCGATTATCTCTATGATCCAAGCATAAATATGAAACTAATCCTGAGCCAAAGTATATGTGACAATTATCCAACTGTATTTCTCCAGAATTATCCTGAGTCAGTAGCTATTCATGCTTAAACTATAATTTATTATTATTAATATTACAGAAACCTTACAAGTGCGGGAAAACATAGTGGCAACACTTGGCACTAAGAGGTACAAAGGAGTTAAGCTCCCACATGCTTATGTATAGTTATCATGGAGACATATTCTCTTTCCTCAAGGCTGTTTATAGAGAAATTGGAGACATTTTCATTGTTGTCTACATCCCCACTTTTTCGCTTGCACATCATGTTGCCTAAAAAGTATACTCAATTTAATTTGATAACTAATGGGTAATTCGCAAGGTGGCTAGATACCTTCCCTCTAATTAAGTTGTTTCTCACGGATATATATGTCCTACCCAAGGCAAAAATCAATCCCAAACTACACTTTTTGATGATAGAAAAAATGCACTGATTCTGCTGCTAACATATCAAGGAACATGCATGAGCAGACATGATAGTCAAGTGAATCAGCAATTTTTTGTTTTTTATTCACCAAGTGATGATGTTGGCATAAGTTTGATCTTTAAAACAATTAATACTGGAATGACAACACAGTTTGAAGGAACCATTGCAGCATTAACCAGAAGATGGAAAGATTCTTCCAACTATATGCCCGTTATACTGAACTGTCAAGAAAACTTAAAATAATTAATAGAAGGGCATCCCAGCAAAGCAAATGTCGCCTCTAATCCATCAATCCCTGGTCTTCTAAATCTCTTATCGAGGTGTGCTGAGACCCATTTCTGAGGAAAATTGAAAAAGATAAACATTATATAAGCACTGGCTTACACCAGAGAAGTTTCTTCAACAAGAGAATGACTAAGCAAAGCAAGTGACATAGTTAACACACCATTATTAGCACAGCAAGACTACAGTGACATTCATGATAGTTAAAAACTCTATCATCACAACATTATAAAAACCCAGGACGAATATGTAGAAAAGACTAAAGGTATTGAAAAACTGATACATATGTCTCCACGGATCTGAATTACAGACAAACTTGCAACAATGAGTGCCAATGAATTGAGCAGGAATATATACACTTTGAGTGTTACATCCTATGGTATTAGTAGGAAATGAAAAGGAGAACAACAGATGAGTTGCTTAATAACATGGATGAAACTAATGAATTACAAGCATAATATTGATGTCATCTAGGTATATTCCAAGAATGCATAGGTAAAGTGTACTAAAAAGAGTGGGTCAAGTTTCAATATCCTGTAGCAGAAGTTACAAAAAAGAAGACTACTATTTCTTCTCCCAACGTCCCCTTTTCCCTGCACCCTTCTGATATGATCTAATTGCAAGGTATGGGACTTAAGTCCCACATTGGTTATATGAGTGACTACTATAGGGTTTATATGGACTTTGGGCTCTCCTGCCTCATGGGCTAGCTTTAGAGATGAGGCTCTCCCAAGATTTGTATCAATTGGTATCAGAGCCTTCCACTATGTCTTCCAGCCGCAATCGAGCGGTGTGGCTGGTGACGCTGGCATTGCAGTGTTCGCCTAGGAGGGCTAGTAAAAGACTAGCGCAAAGCCAATTCAAGTGGGCGCCGGGGCTACTGAGCGTGGTGGAATGTCATGATCTAATTGCAAGGTATGGGACTTGAGTCCCACATTGGTTATAAGGGTGCCTAATGTGGGGTTTATATAGACTTTGGGCTTTCCTATCTCATGGGCTAGCTTTTGGGGTGAGGGCAGAGGCTCTCCCAAGGTTCGTATCACCTTCCTGCTCATGAAAAAATGGATTACAAAAGTTATTGCATCCTTTATGCTGTTAAACCAATGAAACTAGTCATAACCATAAAATTCCAAACTGTGAGTTGCAATAACAAAAAGTTATTGAAACAATTTATCTCTGTATTAAATTTATTATGTATAATAAGTCAAAAACAATAGTCCTCGAAGCAGCTAGACCAGACTAGTTCTTTAGCGTGCACTATCAAAAAGTAAAATAAATAAAAAGTCTTCATAATGGTAGAAAAGCGAACCTTGATTAAGGTAAGTGCTACCCCAACATTTGCTCTATCCTAGAATATGAATGACCAAAATATACATAATGCTTTCCTAGATAGGAAAAAATAAACACAATAATCTTGGTCTAGCTAATAATATTTATTACTGCTCAACAAGTGGTCAATTCTACCTCTTTTAATACCACTTATCCACAGATCATGTTCACATGCAACCTATGTAATCAGTTCTTAGTAAAATCCATGGGCAAGAAGGAAGGTTTCAAAGGGTAAGCCAGTGAGCATGTGTGCACCAAAGAGAGCAATAGATAAATCATTTAATCATCATGAAAAATCAAGGCATTTCTATTTCCTGTGCATGGCCTTCAAAAGTGAGACACTCAACATAACAAGCAAGCAAAAATAACAGAGCTTCAATATATTGGAATCATACTGCAATCACATTGTTAGACATTTTGAATCATTATAAAAAACAAAATATAACAAGAAATAAAAGACTTAAAAGGACCTAATGGACACAGAGGGAATGAACCATCATAATTTCTAACGCTGACAAATTGTTTTCTCAATATAAATTTCATTTCTGCAAGTATTTTACAAGCAGAACGGAACTCCATCTGTACTTTCCTCTGATCATCAGTTGTTCACAATACCTATATGACTTACGTTTAAGTCATGGATTATAATAGTTCACAGGCCACTCCTTAAGCAAAATATATCTTATATAGGTTAAAGGTAACCTGATAGCAACTTGCTGGTTTTGCAAAAAGTGTAAACTCTGTATAGGCTTATAGAAAATTAAAAAGCTGAGACTATGCGTTACATAATAGATTCAGATTAGTTGTGTTATTTTTAATATATGGATTTGATGATAACTATGTTGTTTAGGATTTTGATATATTTTCTTGTTTTTAGGGATTTCATGATATCTTTGATAAGATATCTATTTTAAAGACAATCATATCTTATTAAAATTATGAATCTAATAAGGATTTTTGTTATCTTTGGGTTATAAGTACCCTTTGCATAATTGATTATCAATATTTTGTTTCCTTGAGTAGAGTATCTGAAACCATGTCAGAGGAGTACTCTAGGTTTACTAGTCAGGGAAGTAACCCCACTCAAGAGGAAACCGTTCTACATCTGTTTCAAGCTAAACATGCAAAGATGTTTTCATTTCTCTTCTGCTTAAATTTGAAATAGAAAATTGTAATAACAGAACTTACATGTACAACTCATCATTTATCTATTTGATAATGTACAATTGTACACATACCACCATCCAAGGAATTCAACATCAAAGCTTCAACCCTCCATCAAACTCAAAGTTATAGCTAATAAATTTGCCAACAAAAGATGACAATGAGCTTACACAGACAATTTAATTATCCTATTAATCACCACCACATTTGGAATGCCATGCCTTATCCTATTTTAGTTATACATGATGGCATGGACTGAAATATACATAATAAGAGTGAAGGTTGCATTGCTTACGGATAGGAAATAAAAAAAAGCTATTGAGAGATATCAAACTCCGGGGTTGGCACTGCAGAGCATACCCTGAGACAACGACCTCGAACTCCTCGAATCGATGCCAAGACAAGATGTGAGGCGTGCTGATGAAACCGCCGAGTGCAGTGGAAGCAGCGACTGCACGCAACCAAGTTCAGCAACCGCAACCGACCTGAAAAGTGAACACACAACATAACATTAAAATCAATTGGGTCGAAGAAAAGATATAGCTTTATCTCAAAAGGGGAGGGAATGAAATGGACTTGCCTCATGGAAGAACGAGTTTTGAGGAGAAAAGGTGAGAACTTGGAATTAGTAGCCGGTTTGGTAATGGTGGATTTAATTAGGGAAAATGCTGGTTGGCAAACAGATCTATAACGACAAGCCATTGCAGAAATCACCACCACCCAATTTTCACAGTTAGGGCTTTCAAGTTTCAAGGCCTGAGTCAACACAAAATGAAGGGAAGGAAAGGGTTTTGTGGAGGTTTTTGTCTTCTTTTTTTTTAAAAGAAAAAATTGATTTTAGTGGCTTAGCGCTATCACAGTGTGAGTACATTGTTAAATAATGTTTAATTCATTAATCCATAAACATTATCTGCGGTTTTTGCTTAATAATAAACAAATATCTTAATCCTGTTGGTTCGCATTTAAAGTTTATCCAGACTAATCAATTTGAGGATTAAAGAGACTAATTAAGATTAAATTAATGTTAAAGTACATTTTAAATTAAGAAAAGATTATACTTATAACCTATTACAAGCTATATCTTAACCGTTGATTTCTCTAAATCAACGGTTAAGATTTTTGCAAATAAAATTTATTGATTAATTATTCATTCACAATAAATGATAATCGCTGATTGACAAAAATTAACAATTAAAATATTAATTATAAATGAAAATAGGTTAAAAATATAACCTCCTCTTTAAATTAACCATAAGGAGTGGCATAATTGGTAAGGGAGTTGTGTCTCAATCTGTTGTGGTTAAAAATTCGTTGGTTCAATAGGCAAAGCATTTTGGGCCAGTAGTAAAAAACTTTAAGCTATATCTCACAAAAAGAAATAATCTCATCAATGGAGACATCCTTGGAAAGCCAAAAAGAGAGAGAGAGTATATGTTAAATTTTAAATTTTGCAACAAAATACATTAGTTTGTAATAATATCAAAATTTCACTTTGGTTTTAAAAAAAATCAAAATGTCAGTCATATTAGTTCTTAAACACCAGGGTCATCAATTTTTGAGGACTGAAATGACAAACACTTGTAATTTCTTAAAATTAGAATAGTTTTTTTTAAATTTTAAAAAACTAATGTTTTTGCTGTTAAATATTTTAAAAACAAATTTATGAATTTACTTTGTGTTAAATTTTCTCTTTTTCATTCCCTCACATTTTAGTTTTTTACAAAATAATTTTACAATCTTGATTTATATTTTTCATTCCTCCCAAAATTATTCTCTCCATTTTATCCTAAATCAAACAATATTATTTATAGTAAGAAAGGTTTTGCCGCCCTTATATTCCACCGGATTAATCGATTAATAAATAAATCGGTGAAAAAACCTATAAAAAAATGTTACTTTTTCATATGAGCAATCTTTGATTTTGGTAGATTATTAACTATATTGTTACTATCATCCTCAGAATAGCAACACGAAAGAAATAAAGGAAAAATATTACTTCTTTTTTGAATTTGACTCTTTCATAGTAAATGATGCACCTTTTTTTTGTGATTGTAAATGATGCACTTTAAAGAGAGAGAAAAAATAAAGTTATATCCATTAAAATCAATATTAATTTCCCATGAACGATTATAAATCAACACTTTTTCATTTAAAATTCACCCACTCACTTTTCAGAAGGTAAATCCTTTCAATTAATGCTGCATGATAAACAATTGCTACCGCCCCAGCACCACACTCCTTCGGGGTTTATCCTTGGTTTTGATGGTTCAATTATTTCTATAAATTGTTGTCTAATCAAAACTCAACAATTCTATATCAAAAAAATGGTCAGAATTATAGTTGAATGAAGCCTTGAATCTCAGCCAACAAAGGCAAGTCAACTCTGGTTCAAAACCAATTGGGAGTGTTGATAAAAAGGATTATGAACTTGTAAAGAATGCAGACACGTGACATAAGGAGGGCAGACGCTGCCTTATAGGGAAAAATAGTTTCCTAACAGATTTTTACCCAATATATCCTAAAATAAAGGGTTTTAATCATCCCTGGTAGCCAGGATCTGAGGTATAAAAAGGAGATTAATAGTGTGTGTGTGTGTGTGTGTGGTGGGGCGGGGGGAGGGAATGTAAACGGGCTCCAACTGAGAATTACTCCTACTGAATGTTACAAATTATAAACCAGCTTTAGTCATGTTGCATAGGCACAATAAAGATACAATACTCAGCCAATAAATGCCAGGTAATGCCTCTAAACGCAGACCAAGTGGTAACAAAGCTTGGGTGATTTATCATATTAGGGCTTGTTTCTTGAATGATGTCAAAGCAGCGCCAACTTTCCAGTCACCGAATCCACAGATGATTTTGGTCCTGAAACAAAGGCAGTAATATGTATAGGCAGTCAATCAGAAAAAAAAAAAAAACAGATTATTTGTCAAGCAATTAAGACAAAAGCTTTCAAGAAAAGCGGAATTCGGATAAACATCAGCATCAAATCCAAGATAGTAACATTCACTTGTTCTGTTATTTACATAAGTATATTGATTTTCTTGCACATGCTTTTGGTCATACATTTAAAAGCAACAAAACCAACTCAAGTACAAAGCAAAAAGAAGCTTACCAGGTCCAACAGCAAGAACAGTCTTTGATCCTGCCAAAACCTGAAGAAATAAGAGTTTCAGCAATAATACTTGTTAGAGAGATATAATATGAAATATAAGATCATTAATACGCCTTCATCTAATCACTTAAGTTCTTGGGTTGAATTGGTTATTTTACAATACTAACAAACACCAACAATGAGAGTACGCATATGGAAGTTAACCCTTCAACTTCAACTTCAACATTGATGCATTCCAAAGAAGTTTCGAATAGTAATTCCACATGGAGTTTGTTACCACGTATCAACTCTGTAATAGGTTTTTTAAGGCGGTATTATTCTCTATTTTTATGCCACATGTCATGTATTACCTGTGTTCGCCCAGCGTCAGCAACAACAAAAGTAGGAAGGCCAATACTCTCAGCTGCTTCCTTCAGCTTATTCCTGATTAAAAGTAAAGTAATAGATGTAGGTCCCTGACCAAGAAGTGAATTTACAGTATTCAGAATAAAATCATATGCTCACATTTCTTGTTGATTCCTACACGTCAAAACAATTTTGGGCTGGCCGCACTGTTCCCATTGTCTTAAAAGAGACCGGTTACTGCAAAAGTACTCAGTGGTGGAGTTTATTACACCAATAAGGCTAAAAACCAAAGAATATATACCTGACCGAACATCACTATTAATGATACATAATCATGTCCATGAAGAATAATCATCATCTTCATGTTTAATATGAATTTTTTTAAAGCTAAACATGTCAGCTTCCCATTTGCATTTGCTTTGGAGGTAAAGGAATTTATTTCCTTGAGCATAACCAACTCTACAATATGTATCTAAAAGTGTCTCCACAATACTAAAAGTGTCACCAACTCTCCCACAACCCCCCTCCCCGCCCAAAAAAGAGTAAGAATAAAAAAAAATCCAAGTCACCGAAATACGGGCTTATATGAATAGTCACAACCAAAAAGGACATCATATGGTTCCTACAAAAATTGGCTTGAAAGTTTAACATGTAGCAATCTTTTCAACATTAAGTTAAGCTATTTGTGGTCTTGCTTTTTCAAAGGAGAAGATGCTGGTGGGTGGTTAAGCAGGGAGTGCTATGTGCTACCAGTACAGAACAAGAAGATATCTCAATGCCCTGAAATGGACACTTACAAGAACAAAAGTACCTTTGCATTAATTCGGCGTACATGCCAGTGGCAGCATCTGCAAAGGAAGGTAAATGCAAAGGCATAAACTAATAAACAAAAAAGGATGGGAAGAGGAAATAAGGAAGTTTATAATGGGTGAAAAGAGATCCCTGTCAAATTTGAGATAAGGTAAAGATCCAGAAAATTAACAATAGTTTCATATCTTACGAGCACATTGGGATGCAATCTTTCCAGATTTCATCTTGAGGTCTTGCCTAACTACCAGAACCTGAGACAGTTTACTATTGAAATCAGAAATTTCTCAACATCCAATGAAAGAAGTTCCTAATAATTAAAAGGAATGCATATTAATTCTATTTACCTTCCCCATAACATTTCTGCAACAGAAGAGGAGCTCAAATAAACTAGCTGTTCAACAACATGCACGGATACAGAAAGTTTTTGTATATAATTTCTTTAGAAAAAGTAAAAAATCATCAACAGAAGTTTACTACTATTGCTTTTTGTTAAGTAATTTGAGTTCTTTTAAGCATCAATACCAATTTGTATCCTCAACAGTTCATTTGATTAGAAAAATAAGTTGCAGAGAGAACTTTTGATATTTACACTGCATTAAAGCAATCATAAAATGATTTCATTAGGCAAATTTTCCTTCTCAATGAGCCAATGAAAGATTGACAGTAAAGCCACCACTTCAATAACGTATATACTACCAACAAACTAGAATAACTTATTTACATAATGAACAAATACTCAACTACATCAGAATGACATGCATTGAATAACCATTTAAAGGTAAGACTCCCATAGCATGAGAAAGTGATGATGAAATGAACTAACAGACTTGAGGACTAACCATCTTAAGCTCCTGATCACCATTGCTTGAGACTGAGAGTTGCTGTTGAAGCTTACAAGATGAGAAATTTTTCTTGGGCAAGTGATTTCTATTGGGCTTTGATAAATCAAACAACAACCCAAAAATGAAACCTATAACGAGACCTGGAATGAAGTTCTCTGGCTTGAAACTTCCTGCTAACCATTCTCCTTTTTGCTTTTTTTGTTGCTGCAAACAAAATACAGATTCAATTCAAGGTAGATATCTTATCTAAACTCACTATATGAAATTGACATGGTTTCAATTTAAGGGGCAAAAAAAAAAAAAAAACACATAACTGAAATTCGGACTACCCATTCTCTGGGAGAGAGGTGCGTGGTTATAGGAGAGGCTGATTAAACCATTTGAGAAAAAAAAGGAAGCATTTTTTGTTGGAATAAAAACGCAGAGGAGAGAGAAAAACATAAACGAACCTGGTCACCAGGTTTAGTAGATTTTAGGATGGAAAGGAACATTGAGGTGTTCAAAGACACAGAGACATGAATGGGCAAAGGTTGAATTTTTGAACTTGAACTCCTACTTTCTTATTCTCTGCACGAAAGATTACGCGGAGACTGAGAAGGTGTTCGCTTTCACCACTGGAACACGCCGCAGAAGAGTTTAGGATTAAGTTCCTTTTCTTTTTTAATTGATATAATTACATTTTTCGTAACAGCTAATAATTTTTTCCAGTAATTTTATGAGGAAATTAAAAAAGCGAGTAATTAAAAATAGGATCCAAAGATTCCAAACTTTATTTTGACTTTAGAAAAAAGTAATATATAAATTTTTTAAAGCCATGCAATTATGCCTTATTCCTTTCTACAACGGTTAGATATCGGGGCTTCATGTCATAAAAACAAATGAAATCTTATGGAATGTTTGGTGTATAGTATAGGATAAAGTCTGATTGTATAAGATCTGATAATATAAGATCTGATTGTATAAGACCTGATTGAATTTTAATACTATCCAAACGGTATTGTATAAAATAATATATTGTATAAAATAATATCATCAAGTATTTGGTAACGCACTGTATAATATTATATATGATAAAAATAAATATTTTTAATAAAAATATCCTTTAATAAAGAATTTATATAATTCTTCAAAAAATGTCATATGATATTAATTTTTATAAAAATTTATTGATGAGCGTGTCTAAAATATAAATTATTTTTATAAAAATAAAAATATTCAATATTCAATATTTTAAAAATTAATATATTGAAAAATAAATTTTTATTTTAATAGATTAATATTAAAATAATATATTAATTTTTGAGAATTACATTGGTCAACGATATTAATACATCAATATCTTATCAGGCCTTATCCCTCACCCTTAAGCCGGATTAAGTTATACATCGTTTTGATGTATTAAAAGATTATGTTGTATAAGCTTATACTATACGGTGGTCACACCAAACAACTGAAAATATCATAACGTATAGTATAAACTTATACTATCATACCTTATACGTCACACCAAACAGGCCGAGGGCAAAATCACCATGCTAGGATCGATGGTAAAAGAATTGTCTGGTTAATATTGATTGAATAAGTATTTTCATATTATTGCAGTTAAATGCGCACCTAAAACATGCAAGACTAGTCTTGTATGCTTTCGATGCGAGACTAGTCCTGTATGTTTTCCATGCGAGACTAGTCTTGTATTGATGTCATGCGTGATTAATGTAGAACTAACAAAATTTATAATATTATGCATGTTTACTCTTTATCATGGTACACAATTAGGGTTGTGCATGGGTCAAGTCGGGTCAGGTTTTTGTCCGACTCGACCCAACTTGGTTTTTATAGGTCAGGTATTTTGACCCGACCCGCTTTAATTTGATCCAAGTCAGGTCTGACTTGATTTGGATTTTGTTGAACTAGTTCATAATCGGGTCGGATCTGACCTGGCTTGGTTTCTGAAGTGGGTCTGACTTGGTTTCTGAAGAGGGTCAAATCTGACCTGACCCGTTTTTGACTTGGTTTCCTCACAAAATTTCGTCAAAATTTTTACATTGCAAATGGCGTAAATTTCGTCACAAAATTATTTTTTCGTCGGAATACTTTTTGTCGAAAAGCGACGAAATTTTTTCGCTAATAAAATATTTTACAAAAATAAATTTTCTATCGAAATTTAATTTCCGTCAAAAGTTTTGACGGAAATGATTTCTTCTATCAAATGTTTTAAACGAAAAAAGAATTCTATCAAAAATTTTGACGGAATGTTTTTCGTTCAAAATTTCGATGGAAATGTATTCTCACAAAAATTTCAACAGAAATTGTTCCGAGAGAAATGTTACATTCGAAACTATCGAAGAAATTTAGATTCTCTAAAGAATTTTGACAGAATATTTTTTCTGTCAAAATTTTTTATAGAAAAATTATTTGTCAATTTTTACCAAATTTTTTTACATAAATGTGTTCCGTAGAAAATTTTGATGGAATATTTTTTATCAAAAAACTTGACGAAAATATTTAGTTGAAAATTTTCGATGAAAATGTGTTTCACTAAAAATTTTGACAAATTTTTTTTTTTTTTTTGTCGAAAAGTTTAACGATAATTTTTCCGTCGAAAACTATCGCCGAAATTTGAAATATGTAAAGAATTTTGATGAAATATTTTTTCCGTCAAATATTTTTGATGGAAATTTGTTTCGTCAAAATTTTCGATGGAAATTGTTTTGAGAGAAATGTTTCATTCGAAATTTTTGACGAAATTTAGATTCTCAAGAATTTTAACAGAATATTTTTTTCGTCAAATTTTTTATCGAAATATTTTGTCAAAAAATTTTACGAAATTATTTTACAGAAATGTGTTTCGTTGAAAATTTTGATGGAAATATTTTTTATCAAAAAACTTGACGAAAATATTTAGTCAAAAATTTTCGATAGAAATGTGTTTCGCTAAAAATTTTGACAATTTTTTTTTTTGTCAAAAAGTTTAACGAAAATATTTCCGTCGAAAACTTTCGCCGAAATTTGAAATCTGTAAAGAATTTTGATGAAATTTTTTTTCCGTCAAAAAATTTCGATGGAAATGTGTTTCGTCGAAATTTTTGATGAATATATTTATTTGTGAAATATTTTGACGAAATTTAGATTCAGTAAAAAAATATTCCGTCAAATTTTTTTACAGAAATGTTTTTAGTCACAGATTTTGATGAAAATATTTTTCGTCAAAAATTTTTGCGAAAATTTTTTATGGAAATATTTTTCGTAAAATATTTTGACGTAATTGCTTTATGTTAAAACTATTCTTTTAATGTAATTGTGATTTTCTTTTTCTTTTTTCACATAATGGGTATGGGTCAAGTTTTGGGTCAATGAGTCAATATTAAAACAAGTCAGGTCTAAAACTGACCCAAATAAAAGTAGGTCAGTATTTAAACCAGTTCAAAAAATATAGGTATTTATGGGTCATGTCAAGATCAGATCAAGGACAGGGCAAGTGAACCAATTTTTTTGCACACCCCTATACCCAATTGGTTGTGAAGTAGAAATATTACCAGCTCCCGGATCGAAGATTATCCCTGATGTGTCAAGGTTGCATGGAAAGAGGCATCCTAAATCAACACGCATTCGTAATGAAGTGGATGAGATCGAGGTCTACCTAGTTCCAATCGAACTTGATGAAGTATGTGTAAACAATGTGGACATAATAGGAGTTCATGTCCTACAAGCATTCAGTGAATTAACGTGATGTAATGTTTCTTGTCATTTTTAATATAATATTATGTGTCGTTACTATGAATTGCAGACAATCATAGAATGCTTGAAGCTATCATGCACAGGGGAGTTGCCTTTGAACGTGAGGTCTGGGCACAACTTTATTCACGACCCAAAGGTTGCCAGAGAAACTGAAACGAAGGGATAGATTAAGCTTCGATTCAAGATAGCAGCACGAAAAGACATGATTTGCATAAGGTCCTTTCAGCTCACACAAAAGGCCTCCAAGATGGAATACAAAGTTATTAAGAGTGTCCTTCAAACTATTAATCCTCCAAAATGGCCTTTGAAACACCCATGAGTGCGAGAATCTCTCGATTCATGTTAGCGCATCTATAGCCAAGGCAAACTTTCTGATAGAGCAGAGCAAAGCAAAACAAAGTAGATTATAATGATGTAATAAGTATAAGGAGAAAAAAAAAAGAGTTATATAAGGTTTATGTTTCAACCGTACCTAGCTAGAATGAGGATTAATAATAGCTTTGTATTCCATCTTGGAGGCTTTTTGTGTGAGTTGAAAGGACCTTATGCAAATCACATCTTTTCGTGCGGCTGTCTTGAATCGGAGCTTAATCTGTCCCTTCGTTTTAGTTTCTTCATCAACCTTTGGGTCGTGAATAAAGTGGTGCCCAGACCTCGCATAAGGCAACTTTCATGTGCCTGATAGCTTCAAGCATTCTATGATTGTCTGCAATTCATACTAACGACACATGATATTATATTAAAAACAATAAGAAACATTACAACACATTAATTGGTTGGACGCCTTGTAGGACGACATAAACGCCTACTATGTCCACATTGTTTACATATACTACACTAGTTCGACTGGAACTAGGTTGGATCTCGATCTCATCCATTTCATTGTGAATGCGTGTAGATTTAGGATGCTCTTTTCCACGCAACCTTGACACATCAGGGATAATCTTTGGTCTAGGAGCTGGTGGTATTTCTTCTTCAGTACTACAGATCGGATACCATGGTAAAGAGTAAACATGCATAATATTGTAAATTTTGTCAATACTACATTAGTCACACATGGCATCAATACAAGACTAGTCTGACATGGAAAGCATACAAGACTAGTCTTGTATGTTTCAGGTACTCCTTTGACTACATTAGTATGAAAATACTCATCCAATCAATATTAATTGAGGAATTCTTTTACCCAATAATCCTAGTACGGTACTTTTGCCTTAATTTGAGAGTTGAATTAGAAATTAGCATCGTCTTTTCTTTTTTAATTTCTTGTTTTCTCTTTCCATGGTGGATCCACGTCTTGGTATAAGAAGCTGAAAGGGAGAAGAAAAGTGTTTCAATTAGACATTTTTCAAATCAATTTTATTATTAAGGTTTTAATTTCCCCTTTTGTGTTTTTAAAATATGTTGCAACGTGGAATATATATGTTATTTTGAAGTTCATCCGCTGAACATTATTCATCTGTCAATCTTTTTTAGAATTAAAATTTATTATAGACACTAGATGTAAACAAAGACAAAAGAAGTACAATTTATACTTTGAACAAAGTAATGAGGTCGAGAGTTTCACTTGTATTACTCAAATTAAAACCTTTGTATTTGGTGAAAACAAACCAAAGGAAAGTTTTCTTCTTGATTAGGAGCGTACAATTCATTGTAAAGATCATAAGCATATCCACTTAGTTTATACAAATCTAGCCCAGGCGCAGCCTAGTTGACCCATCATTTAATAGAGTTATGAGCTCACCACTCTTCTTCTTTTTCTTTTTTATATCAATCGGTTAGAAGTCCTAAATTAAATGATCGATTAATTTATTTTTGTGTTTCTGCCTCTCTACTCTTATGAGAAATTATAACTCTAAGCATTCGAACTCATTAAGATAGATAATTGTACTACTAAAAGAACTCATCACAATTCAAAAAAAAATAAAAATAAAAAATGGGCACCATCAAAACAAGTAACAACTGAAGACAATAATTCTAACTAATTACGATCGACGTCAACAATTTGTAGCCCTTTTTTACATAGATGCTATGAAACATTTATTGAGTCCAACAACCATGAAATCTCCCTAAAGTTAACTTTGATTTTGATTCTTTAACACATGAAACATTATTATATAATTTAAGGAAGAAATAGAGTTAGCCAGTGCAAAGACCCCCACTGGGCTGAGCCATATCAACCTCGCTAACATAAGCAGATAGGTTAAGATACTTATCCTGTTCCATCCTATCCCTCCACCTTGCTCTACAAATCACACAAATAGCTGTTCTTCTTCCCCTGCTTCTTTTCCACCTCACCAAGCATTCTTCATGAATAGGGTTACGACATGTTCCACATGCCATCAACTTTTCTTCTTTCTTCATTTCCTCAAGACAAACCGGGCACGTTGCACCATCCTCCATCTCTATGCTTGGCCTTGTTGACCCTCCTTGTCGTCCATCAAAGAATAGTTGGTGAAACCTTTGGCGTAAGGTGCCACCTGTTAGAGAAACATGATATAAAATTATTATTATGACTTTTTTTAATTGTTTAAGCTTTTGAGTTGAATTGGTTCTTTACACCACCTGCAATTGCTTCTGGCAACGTGGGCATATTGAGAAGGCGTTGAAGCTGGCATGGTCGAAGGGTTCTTCTTCTTAGACACACATCGTCGAGGGACACACCCAAGACTCGAATGAAAACGAAGAGGATGTGTTTGCATGGGGTTGTGCGATCAGGGCACGTGCATGAGGGTGTGGAGGATAAGCTAACTGTGTAGACGTTTCCGGTGGCACCAAATATGAAGAAGGTTGAGCTTGAACGGTGGAGAAGACGGAGGCGGTGGCGGAGGGCTCGAACTATTCGGTCTGAAATAGGTTGGCTGGGTTTGAACCGAGGGTGATGATGGTGGTGGTTATGGTTTGATGGGGAACTAGAATTGGAGGCAACAGACTCCATTGATTTCAAATGGAAAGAAAAAAAGGTTGTTAGGACAGTTGGTAGTTGAATAATAATATCAATTTAGGATTAGAAGAGAAGAGCATGTTGATGGTTATGTAGGTGGAATGTGGCTATGATTCTTTGTGCATTTTTGAGGGACACGTGAAGGAATAAGGATGCATGATTCGCCAAGGGAACTTTGTAAGGTGGAGAATTCCAAACCTTAACTTGTCGACTTAATTCCCTTGTGTTTGTGGACTGGTGGTAAACCATGCAGCACGCTTTAGCAAGAGGCCCAAAAAGCCAATAACTTGATACGTACAATCCACACAATATAGTTATTTGCTACCTTGTATCCCAACCAAGGTTTTCTTATCGATATTTTCGTTGTTATATGGTTTACACGTTGTCTCCTATATCTCAAATTGGACACTCTGCTCCGCACTTCAAGTTTACACAATGTATGTATACTAGCTGGATTTACTCTTTCATGTGAAATTTTGGATGAGATATGTCAATGGCATACTAGTAATTAGTACACTTCGCGTTATGGATGACTTGGTAAACAAATATATATAGTTTCAAGATACTTGTGAGGATTTAAAATTGAAAACTTTAATGTCAGATATCTAGTCCTTCAGATGTATCTTCTGTAATAGTGACTTGTTATAAGGAGTTCGTATGCACTTGGAACTAAAGTGTACCAAAAGATTAGGTTACTCGTACACAAATAAATAGACTCATTTGGATTTAAGGTTTTGATTAGAGGTTTAACGTTCGTGATACATTAGCTCTTTCTCATTCCACCCTCTCTCTCTCTCTTCTTTTCCATAGATTTTTAAGGAAAACTTCCTTAAATATCACGCACGCTAGAGGTAGAGTATCTAACAAGATATCTAGTGAGAAAAAATATGTTGATATTTGGCCGTCGTAACATTGAAGATATACTTGATGCACCTAAAATTTATATATTTACCATAAACTTCATTTTGGGTTAGCTTAATTTTTACTTTGGCTGGCGTTAAACGAAATTAAAATAAAATAAAAGCAGAAACGGGAGAAGTTAGATTGGTAAATTATTATTACAACACTACAAGAAAAAAGTTTACCTGTGACAAAAAATTTCATCATAAATTTTGTCACAAATGACAATTTTGACACAAATAATCAAATTTCGTCACAAATAAACTTGCGACGCAGGAACTTTTAACGAAATTTAATTGCGATGTAAGAATTTGTAACAAAATTTCATGAAATTTCATCACTAATAAGATTTTATCTTGTAGTGCAAATTGAATCATCATCTAAATTTCCCCTTAACCCAATCATACCTAAAATTAGCAGTGCCAAGGAAAAATACTACATATATATAAATAGAGAAAATGAGACAATAATCCACTAGGGCTAGCCTAGTGGTGTGAGTGTGTGTAATAGGGTGTGTGTGAGTGTGTGGTTACGTGTTCTATGAAAGAAAAAATGAGACGAAAACTTTAAATCTACCTTATTTTATTGGTACGAACACTTTGAATCAACTTGTTATTCACTTGAATCTGTGAACTTATGTAGTATTAATGTCGAACGATCATTTTTTCTTAAATCTTTTTTCCTTTCTTACCTAAGTACTTTCACGGTTGCACCTTATCAAAATGGAATTATAACATTAAAAAAAATAATGCAAGAAAGACTAACATGTATTGACTTTTTCAAAAACTTTATATACAATTAGTTTTTACTAAATTTTAAGTAAAAGAAATAATGTTAGATGTATATATCACTTTACACATATCTCGCATCTGCTTATATGATAGAATCAGAATAAAAATGTGAAGAAATCCTCTGCACCAATATGGCAGAAGCCCCAAGGACAGTGAATAACCTGGCCACAAAAGAAGCGAGCTGCGGTCTTCTTCTTCGAAACTGCAATAGAGAGTGGTAATGATCTTCTCCAATCTAACGGCTTACAGCGGCTGTGCAGTGCGGACCCCCTTCCAATTGCAGGGTCGTTTTCTGGTTTAGTTCTGTCTTAGTTATTTTTTTGTTTTGGGTCTAATGGCCCCCCAATAACAACTGACAAGCAATAAACTTCAATACCATCAACTTCAATGTTTTTTACGAAAAATTAAAATTAAATTAACTCAACTTTATTATGAGTTAAGTTAAAAATATATATTAATATCGGTAAAATAATTAGGAGTTCAGGGAAAAATTATATCAGAATTACCAAAAATCATCACTTATATACTTAAGCTTTTAGGTGAGATAATTATTTATAATGTTATCAGAGTTATGTCATGGTATTAGATGGTTTATATAATATCTACACTTCAAACCCAAAAATTTATTACATGAAAGGATGTGTTAGAATAAAGATATAATATAAAACTATTAATAGCTTATGACTTATAAACTTAAGCTTTTAGCTGAAATTGTTGCTTATCAAATTAATTATGCAATTAATTAAATTTTAAAATACTATATCAAAATAATGTATTTTGTTCGGCATACCAGTCATGCAACACTTCCAACTGTATTATAATAAGGATTTTTCATGTAATATCTCCTGTAATTTCAAAATAATATCATTTTAAAATAAAAATAAAAGGTATTTTAGCAAAATTTATGATATAAAAGTGAAGTAAAATTTCTAAAATATCATTTATTTTTATTTCCAAACCCAAAAAAAAAATGATATTCTTTTGTAATTATATTCATGTTATAAGAGAAAATTTTTTTCATATATATATATATATATATATGGGGTAAGATTATTTGACACCAGTGTCAAATTTTAATTTTGACACCTCATCTGAGAGCCATGAGATCAAAAAAGATCAACAACTTTGATTTCTAAGCATGTGACACCATTGATCTTTTTTGATCTAACGGCTCTCAGATGATGAGGTGTCAAACTTTAAATTTGACACCTCATCTGAGAGCCGTTAGATCAAAAAAGGTCAACGACTTTGATTTGCAAGTATGTGACACCATTGATCTTTTTTGATCTAACGACTCTCAGATGAGGAGTCAAAATTGAAATTTGACACCGGTGTCAAATGATTCTACCTCATATATATATTTTAGGTTCATTTTTTTTTCTGCAGTTGATGTAGATAAGTTATCTACATTGAGCTCTAAATGACGTCGTTTTGAGAGTGAATATAGATAACTCATCTACATTCACTACAGAAATATTAAATCCATATATATTATTGGATTTTTTTGTAAAAGATTATATCCAAACACACGGATAAAATGAAAAATATTTTTATTTAGAAAAAACATCTTGAAGAAAAACAAAAACACTTTCAAACGCCCTAAATAGAAAATAGTTCTTTCAAAAACAATTATATGTCTTTTTTTTTATAAAGTTTACAGAAATTATATCATAAATTTTTTAAATATTACATTAATCTGTTTTATTTTGAAATTTATGTCAAAGCACTTGGTCAACTTGTTTCAAGACACAAAAACTACTAGCATACAAATTTTTGTTTAATGTATACAAGAAAAAATAACACTTAAATAAATATTTAAAATTAAATATGATGTTAAAGTACATTATACATGGATAAATCTGATATTTTTTCCCCACTTACTGTGTTGTTTGTTTCATTGTTTTTATCGGATAGATAGAGCTTCTGGTTTGGTGTCTTCTCATACTTTACTCGTCGGAGGTAATGGAAGACGCCGGAAAACTTCTGAGCTCCGGCAACTTATCGCATAAGATCGTTGCAGTTGCTGCGGGGGAAGCACACACTCTCGTTCTTACTGGTAAGGCTATTCAAGAGACCTCAAATTTCTGTGAATTGGAAAAAAAAAAAAAGAAATTCACAATTCATGTAAATTGAAATCTTATACTGCATCTTTGAAAAGTTTATGTCTTTGTTGTGATTTGTTGAGGGTTGAAAGCAGGGGAATTTTGATTGTAGGGGATGGCAGCGTGTACTCATGGGGTAGGGGAATGTTTGGGCGACTTGGGCTTGGTTCAGAAAAAGATGAGCTTTTCCCAGTAGAGGTCAAGTTTGGAAACCCTAATGGAACAGGAGACACTCTCAAAATTGTGGGAATTGCTGCTGGTGCTTATCATAGTCTTGCTCTAACAGGTTCTGTAACACTTCATACCTTTCAATTTTTGCTTTCTAGCATTTGTACACATGTGAAGATAAGTGAAAAATGGGATAGTGGGTAGGTACTCATTAGAGGGGGTGAAAATTTAAAAAATAAAATAAAAAGAGAGAATAAAGAGCGTAGCATTTTCAACTGTTCATCATTTTTCCTTGTACCAAGCAAGTGTAAAATGATTATATCTTTGGTTCATTACCATTGTTCCTCAAACTTTCAGCTGTGCCAAGTAGCTTTCTAGTTTTCTTTTTATACTGAGGAGTAGTTTGGCGATGTTAATATAAACTTTTCATACACTATACCTTGTTTCTCTTTTGCTGAATTCTTAAATCACTAGGGGGGGAAAAACGAATAAAAACTTCATTAAAATGTAGTATCTTGCTTATTTGAATTGGAATTTGAATTTTTTTTACCCTATCTAATTATTCAGTCTTTTTGTGTATTGACAGAAGATGGAGCTGTTTGGTGTTGGGGTTACAATATCTGTATCCTTAATATAGTTGGAGTCCCGTGGTGATATTCAGTTACAGATATTACTTGTTTTGACTTCTAGAAGTTTGTTGATTTTATATTATATATCTAGTATCTACATCCTTGACTATTGTATGGATGGTCAACTTGGTATCAGTGGAGAGGATTCACATGACAAAAAATATACTGATGGAGATTATTCTCTAGTGCCCTGCTTACTGAACAAATTTCTTGAGTTGCACCCTCCTGATTCTTCAACAGGTGTGTCTGAAACAGAAGGCAAAGCATCACTAAAGGTATGACATGAATTGCATTAATTTTATTCTAAGACATAAGCCAAGGTGAGAGCATCAATAATGTGTTTTCACCTGTTCAACTTTCTCAGATATGTGCTGTCAAAGCTGGAGGAATGATGTCTCTGGCTATTGATTGTCGTGGGACCCTATGGATGTGGGGAAACTGCCCACAACAAAGCAAAGAAGGCGGGTTATCTCTTGTTAACAGTTTCAGTCCAACACCAGTTTGGGATTTTCACGGTCACACTGTTGTCAAGGTTGCATGTGGAAATGAGCATGTTGTAGCATTGGTCAGTGCTGGGGAATCATACAAGGGTGAAGATCTAGTGTGCTACTCTTGGGGTTATAACAGCCATGGCCAATTAGGCTTGGGGGATAGGGAGAGCAGGCTGCATCCAGAAGTTGTGAAAACATTTGCTGAGGAGTCCCCTTGGACAATTTTCGAGGTAGCATGTGGTGCCTTTCACACTGCTTTGCTCACTCACAAAAAGAAACCTGGTGACACATTAGAAAGCACATGCTGGACCTTTGGCCTTGGGGATAATGGCCAACTTGGACATGGAACAACACAAAGCATATTATTTCCTACACTTGTAAAAGAATTGCCACAGAACATATATCTTATTTGTGTTGCCTGTGGCTTGTTTCATACAAGTGTTGTTTCCTCAGCTGGGGATGTGTGGTCATGGGGAATGGAGAAGGGTCTTGGCTTATGCCCTGATGCTAGTCGTGCTGAAACATATTCTGGTGATGCCCTCTCTCCCCTTCTTATCTCATGCAATCCATATCAACCTAAATTTCCAGATCCAGTTCAAGTCGCGTGTGGGGCTGCACATACTGTTGTTGTTGCGCAGGAGGGATATAAGGTGTGGTCTTGGGGTAGGGGAAGGAATGGAGTTCTTGGAAATGGTAAAGGAGTGGATTGTTACACTCCCACCATAGTGCTGTGGCCTCCAATGATGAATGATTTCAAGGAAGAGGAATTAAAGAGCTCTGGTGAGCAAGATAAGGCGAGAGAAAAGGAGACCAAAGTAATAACAGAAACAGATGAGAAATTATCCTCAGCATTGAATGAGCTGAAGCAGCTTCAAACAAAGCTATCTATAATGGAAAAATATGCTAGTATACTTCATGGTTCTATTTTTGGGAAACCTTTTGATGAGCAAGATATCCCTGTTTCATTGCAGAATTCAGGTTCATTCGACATTGCAAAAGAATGGGAGAACATGTTAGAGGCAGCAGATCATAGGAAGCTAATTAGGTTGGAAATGTTTTACCGTGACATGCTTGCTGGTGTGAAAGATAAACTAATGGAGAGAAGGATCAAGGAAATTATAAAGGAGTGCCTCCAATCTTCAGAGGTCAAAAATTAGTAATTATAAAAAAAAAACAAGATGCATCCCATTCTGAACAAAAGATTTCACATAGAAAGCTAGAAGCTGTTTGATCATTCCATTTACTCAAATTCAATCCAATAGTGCCTTGTCTATCTAGTAAAATTCCCCGCAAAATTATTTCACTCGCATTTAAAATATTGCCTTTGCACCTGAATGATCTGTGTGTATTCTGCCTTAGTAGATCCAACGGAAACAAAACCAAAATGGATAGTGTTATTTGCGCGCCAATTTTATTATATCATTCTTATACCACTTTAAAATATCAGAATAAGAAACACATTTTAAAACGCACTACATTTTTTTTTCCTCAAACAAGAAAAATGAAAGTATAATGCAACAATTGTGGTGTGCAGTTCAAAAAAATAGAAGTGGATAGATATCTCGGGGACCCTTGTTTGTACAGTTACAGCGAGGTAACAAGGTTGAAATGCGTGCTACTGTTCTGCCATGTTATATCTACACATAATTTTACACCATAAAATGTTAACCCCTCTGTTGTTTTTCACTTCTAAATTTAACAGGTTTTTCACACATTGTTCTTTCAATATCATGAATTATGATTTCAAATTATTAGATATTTTATTGTTTTATACATGGTTAACATTTTCCAAAAAATACATACAAATACAAGTACTCTTTTAAAGGCATATATCAATTTTTTTTCACTAGTGTCTATGAGTTCTTTAAAAAAATTATTTCTATTTCTCTCCAAAATAACTACACTACCAATGAGGCATTGGTGAAGTTTTAGCGAATACTTTCATATTTTGAAAAATTCTTGCGTTTTTTTCCCCCTTCATTCAAGAAGACGACACCGACAGTCAGCAGTACAAAAATGCAAGGTAATCCCACAAAAGTGTTAAAAATAAATAAATTAAATTGCAAGTCACATTCCCTATCAACTTCAATCCTAGGAAGTACAGCAAGAGCAGTTGCTCTGCCGCATTTGGATAACGAGTACCAAGTCTATCACTTTCCAGCAATCAGGCAGCCAAAGGTATTTCACGCTGTCCACACGTGGCACATGTCATCACTCCCGACCAGAAACTACATTAGTATATGTCCGAAAATGAAAACGTGTACGACTTGAGATATGCATAACATGAAAGAGAACTACTGCATTAACATATAAGCAAAACGTTAAATCAACGCCGGCCTTTTCATACATACTAAAAGTAATAAATAATGGCATAAACTTTTTCATCAACAAATGTGCTATACAATGCCTGCATTTTATACTACTAAAAATAGGACAGACAACCCAATCCAAAGAAATTCAACAAAAGAATATAGAGAACAAGGATATCATTTTTATGTAATATATAGAGACAACTCTCAAAAGGCATAAGAAAAAAAAAAAAAAAAAAAAAAGCTAAACACAGAATAAACCATCGTGAGATATCTCTAATCTTCCAATAATTAATGAATCATAAAGAATATTCTACTACCTTCGCGATAAGCCAGCCATACTCATGACCAACATTTATGCTGCCTCTCTTTGGACTCGAAGAATATGCCGATAGCACAAAGCTTTTGGCCAATATTCCCAATGTACTTACTGTACAAGACAGCCGCATCCTGAAGTAAATCTTTCTCAACAATGAAGATAAATTACCTGCTGGGCAATGTTATACTAAATACAAGCCGAACCAGACAGTTAAGCAGAACGCATCTCCTACTCCAACTATCTCCGTTTGCCATTTCACTTACTGTTTCTCATGCGTGTTAAAGTTTCTTAGGTAGATCATATGTCTTTTTAAGAAACTTAGAAGCTGATTCATCATTTCTATAGCATAAAACACGTAACAGTGTGTTTGGTTCAGATGGATTCCACTGTCCAGAAGTAGGAGGTAATGGAAGTCTAGACCTGGCAGAGGATTTAAATGTCTCCAGGGTTAACCGTCTAAACTGCTCAATGAGGCTCTCTGTGTCGGTTCTGAAAAGGGGGAGGATAGACCTCAGAGTGGTTGAAAACTTATCTATTATTTCAGAAGGCAAGCCATCCCCATTTGCCCAAAATAGATCCTTAAGATATTTGAAATCATCCTCTATGATTTGAGAGTCCTTCCGGGAAAAAGCTCGAGAGGGGCCTCCAGCAAGCAATACAAGCAAGAATCCATCAAAGGAAGCTCTCATTGTTTCAGCAATAATACGCGTGCGAATTCTTTCATGAACAGTGTCTGAAATGAACATCAACTTCTGCTCAAGTTCCTGAAGAAATGGCTCAATCCTGGACGATGATGGATCCCCAACATACAAACCGTCCCATAAAACATGGCTTAGATCATGGAAGACAATTCTATATGCCACTGCCTCGCAGAGTTGCTGAATTCCTTCAAGACATGCAGCAGGAGATAGTTCAAACTTCTTTGCTAATCCATTTGAAAAATCTTCTTCATGAGCAGATTCAGAGTTCCGTAAAAGCGTAATTATTCTTTTTTCCAGAACATCAAATTCACCCAGGATCCATTGCAAAGTATTTATGCGAACACAGAGTTGTGGGACCCCAAAAGAGCTATCCCCATTTGTTGCAACCTGAGGATTTCTCTTCTGAGAATTTGGAGATTTATCTTTTTTCTTCCCAAAGCCTTGAAACTTTGAGCCAATAGTGCATCTGGTTAATGCTGGCATTATCGGAACAAATGTATTTCGTGATCCTGAATATTAGAACAAAGAACAACAGTTACTACAGATATCAAACATTAGAGCTCAATGATAAAATTTCAGTATCATTTACCACAGCCAGATTTTGATTTGGCAACATAGTACTGAAGGCATCTGTCAAGGCCATTCATCACTTCAGGAAGCAATGCAGGATGCATGGGTATTGGAAGCTGAAAGAATGCATCCAAAGTTTCATTTATGATTCGCAAAACTTCAACAGCAGATGGGGCATATCCTTCCTGATTTGCTTGCGAATTCCAAAGCTAGGATATCAGAGTAAACTAGGTTAGTTCAAAATAGAGGCAATCAATTGGTGTATAAAATCAGAACTCAAGAAAATTAATCACATGCATAGCTACGAACATGTTATCACTTATCTACTAAAAAAATCTCATGATTAAAAGACATACGTACAACTCACAGATATTTAGCAATGACTTTCGGTAATAGGTTATAAACTCCTGATCTAATATTCATCAACCGATAACAAAAGAAAAGGTGATGAATGCAAACCTCTTGCTGCAGATTTCTATCAACCCATTCTTTCAGTCTGTCTAACCTAGTTTTAATCCATATTTTTACAAGATTGGCTATTGCACCTTCAGCCTCATAAGGAGGCATCTCACGGATTATTGCTTTACCACCATCTTCACTGTCCACTGAATCCTCAACTGCAATCTGCACAAGGTCTTTCTCCAACTGATCTGCAGCTCTCAACACTTGAACAGCATCTGGTGTCAATTCTGTGATACCTGAAATGAATTGCTTCAGCTCATTTCCATAGCATGCATGAAGGGTGGCCACAGCAAGACCTGCTGGCAAAGGATGCCATCTCTTAAGTATTGGACTGAACACTTGCTTTTCATTAACAGCCAGGCTACCTACATCCTTTGCAAGGATGGCAAGGAGAGGGAGAGAATTTGGTTGATTTTTGGACGCTCTCCTGCTTGAGTCTGCTTTCTCCATTATCTATGCAGCAGCAAAACAAGCATATTTCAGCACATGCGTCTATCAGAAAATTTAGAGGCAGATAGATGAAGAAGTTAACACGAAAACTAAAGTCATAAATTTAATTAAGATCACAATATATTACCCACAACTAACTTGCAATGACTAGGTACCAATGTTTAGTTCATTATCAAACTATCCATTGCTACTGCACTACTCAGGCAATTACACCGACCCCGCTAAGCTGTTTTGGGCACATGTAAAATAACCCCTTCTCAAACACCCCCCCCCCCCCAACACACAACAACAAAAATAAGTAAATAATAATATAGATCTCCAAATTTTCATGCCTTATAGACTGCGTTTATTTAATGAGGATGTGTTGAATATGAGATATCAAGTTTTCCCACTTCCTCAGTCACCCAGTGCTAGAATTGTAGTTTGTATACCAACATAGTTTCACACTGATTTTATAAGTAAAAATGTGCAGTCACTATATTGTCAAGCACAACCAACCTGAAAGTTAAGAGTTAAAAAAAAAAAAAAAAAAAACCTATTTCTCTTACATTAAGCACTATTGCCATAGCAGGAGATGATAATCCTCTAGTCTAAGACTGTCTATCATCTTTTACTAAAGGAAAAAGCCAGTGGCAGACAGTAAAAACTTGCCTGTGCAAATGTGGTACGTAGTGATGACCTGATGTAAGTTTCAATTCTTTCACGGGCCACATTGACTTCAGTTCTTCTCCTACGCCGATACTCATTAGATATATCTTCAACCAAAATCTTAGCTGCTGCTACCCCTAAAGAGACAATGCCCTCCATGGTTTCAACATTTCCACGATCAAAAGTTTCATGATATGCAAGAAGCCGTTTCTCAGCCCACCCCAATATTGAAGTCAATGTAGAACTCAAAATTTTGGAATATTCTGGATCTTTTGTTGTCTTTGCATCTTTTGCAACTTCAGCTAGCTGGCCATCAGCAGCAGACAGCAGGTCAAGATCCATCTGGCCAGTTGCAACAAATCGGTGAAATAAAACCCAAGTGAAACAGAGATTATGAAACATTTCGTTCAATCCAAGAATTCCCCAGGTCTTCTTGATTTGTTCCATTAGCTCGTCAAATTCCTCAATAACTGATGACTCGTCATTAGCATCAAAGCAGGATTGCAGAAGCATTTCATAAAGCCGGAGATTCAGAGGAATCCCATCTGCCCAGTGGCATGAATCAGTGAGAGACCCATCATATGACCTACTTGCAAGAGACATAACAGCACTACGAAGAACCTGCATGGACTCATTATTCCTCCCGGTTTCTATAGGCTTATCCAAAGCAGCATGAATAACCTGCCGCAGCCGTTGTGCAGCAGAATTCGATTTATCAAGAGGCATGTGAGGATGTAAAATTAGACCTGCCTCCAGAACCTTCAGGGTCCTCTTCTGCCATTCTCCATACTCTTGCTGATCAGTAAAATCCGAAGCCTTGAGTTGCTGCAATAGCTCAAGTGGAACTACCACAGACTCAATCCGTCTTCCGACCTGTTATAAAGTCCACAAGATAGCATAACCATGGTCAATTATACTTGAATAATTTGTTTACCTTAATGAGCAGCTCAAGGAATTTATATTTCAACATGAGTTATCATTGGATCAAAGTGTCATTACACTGCTTAGATTACAAAATCTGAAGAATCCAATAGCAGATCAAAGGAGTACATGATTGAATTCGAATAAGAAAACCGATAAACAAGTGAAAATTAAATGGAATAGCATCTACCAAAGCCGGATCAAACGCCACTTTGAACATGCATTTCAACACTCACAGACACACAGGAAAAAAAAAAAAATATTCATAAGAAAAAAGTGAACATGTGTGAAGTGCAATGGCGAAAAAATGAAGAGTTTGGTTAATGCAAATTATTGATATGAAAGCGACCTGGCCAGCAGAAATCCTGAGCAGCGCTCGTCTCACACGCGAATCCATGGCCTCCGAAACCCTCATCTGATTTCTCATGAGCTCCCCAACCGTCATCGGCCGCTTCGGCTTCCCCTGACCCGAACCGGAACCCGAACCGGAGCCAGGGCTCTTCTTCGAGCCAGAACCGGGCGATTTCAACCCGAAGGCCTTCTTGACCTTGCTTGCGGCAGTGGAGGTGAGAGATCGCTGGAACGCTGGCGAGTTAGGCGAGTTGTGACTCGGAGAGTCAGTGTGGTTGGAGGACGAGTTGGGAACAAAACTGAGAGGCTTGCCAGCGGAGGTACGGCAAGCGGCGACGAAGATCTCGTAAGCGGTTAGGGCGAGTTCGGAATCGGAGAAGTTTGCGGCGAGTTGACCCAGCGGAGACGGAAGGTCATCGGCGACGGTGGCTGATTTGGGAGGCATTGTCGGCGGCGGCGGTGGCGGTGTTGTTTCTCTCTTGGAATGGCCCAACGAAAGGTCCCTGAAGAGATGCGCCATTGCACAGAGAGAGAAATAAATTAAAGGTAAAAGAAGAAGAAGAAGAAGAAGAAGTAGAATAAACAAGGATTGCAGAGAGAGTCAATAGTATGGACTACATACATACACGGTAAAAGTGTTGAGATTAGATAGGGACAGTGCCTCTTCTTTCTTTCTCTTTTACTTTTCATGCATTTTCTCTTTCCGCAAATTACAACTATGCCAAATTAAATTCTTATATAATTAATTTAAATGCACTTCTTATACTTTTAAATATTATGTTGTTTTAATAGTCAATTATCAGTCGTTATCTTATTTTTTCTTTCTTCTGACTTTCTGAAATAATTCGATCTATCACGTCGCAAAGAGGAAAATAATTCACATATTTAACTGCGTGTATTAATGATATAGTCTTTTCTTTCTTTCTTTTTTTGGGTAATATGATATAGTCTTTTAACAATAACCGCAAGTCGCAACCAATTGGATGGGATTTTTTATTTCGTTAAAATAAAAATGATAATAACCCCAACCAACCAATTGGCAACAAGTTCGTAAAACCTGGAGGCTGGAGCTCAAATTAGTGAGATTGCACGATCCTTCGTTTCATGAAAGATTTTTGTAATTGTCTTCATAAATCTAAGGCAAACTTCCTCAAACTTAGTAACGCACACATAATATTCTAAGCACATGATGGGTGCATTTTACGCACGAATGCGGGTGAATATTATTCGATACGATTCGTAAATAAATCAATATATATATATATATATATATATATATATATATAATATATAAAGGAAGATTATAATTTCTTATAAATATATCTTAATAGTTGATTTTTGTCAATTAACGATTATTATTTTTCGTAAATCAAATTTATTAATTAATTATTAATTCATAATAAATGATAATTATTAATTGGCGAAAAGTAATCATTAAAATATGATTATAAGATGTTGTAAATGAAAATAGATTATAAATATGACATTCCATATATATATATATATATATATATATATATATATATATATATAATACTATTCATTACGTTTTTCGCATCTATTTTCTCCATGTGGAAGTTATAATAATATAGAACTGTGATTTGAATTCTTCATCCGTATTACATATGTTCTAGTTGCAAATTTAGGCGGACCAAAATTGAATGATTCTTTTACGATCGCAACTAGCGAAATTAATAAGTTGTTGGAGCAAGTAAAAGTATAAACATTGATTTGAATGCGTGGTCGAATATGACCTGCCAAACATATATATATATATATATATATATATATATATATATATATATATATATATATATATGTGCCAAATATATATATATATATATATATATATATATATATATATATATATATATATATATATATATATGAAAGGTCAATTGAAGTTACATTTTGAAGTGGTCAATGTGGAACCGTGAATATGTAATAGGATTTCAATCACATTTGTTTTCCCAACTTCTATCCGAAAAGTTTGAATTTAATTTTATGGAGAAATTGAAATGGTAAACGTCAAGTAACAATTCTTAGAATATATACATTCACAGTTTCAATTAAAAATCGAAATATAGCACTTCATTTAGGTCGTATTGCAATTATTTTAATAACTTTTTATATATTTCAACCAAATAATCGTAAAAGATATATCATTTTTTTTCCTTTCTGGTACAGTAAACAATATATCTCTGAAACAGTAATTTTTGTCTTTGAGAATATTTGCTTTAAAATAATACAAAGAAAAATCATAATGTTTGAATTGAATTAACTATAAATTCCTTTGACTGTGAGATGACCAAAACAAAAAATAATATATTGAGATTTTGTAAATACATGTAATTTGAAAAGGAAAATATAATGAAATTTTCAAAATGTATATTATCCAATAATTTCATACTTTTCCTTTCAAGAACAACATATATTATGCTATTTCAAGATAATGCTTAAATTATATAATTTTAAGTAAGAAGAGAGGAATATATATATATATATATATATATATATATATATATATATATGGGTTTGTTTTTTCTGATGTTACTTTATATAACTTTATCTACTGTTCATCAAAACGACGTTGTTTTGGGACGGAAATCATAGTATTTTTGTAATTTTAATTTATTTCAGGGTTATAATAGTCTTTATCACTCTGATTTTTTAATTTTTCAACCCAAAACGACGTCGTTTCGATGAACATTAGATAAAGTTATTTAAAGTAACATCAGAAACTTTTTTCCCTATATATATATATATATATATATATAATTGTACTGAAATCGGTGCAAAGAATGTGTAAAGAAGTAATATAGAAGATTGAGTACAAACCCCGAATAATACTAATATCATATTTTTTATCCTAATTGATTTAAAAACAAATTAAGACATTAAAAAATGTTAAAAGATACAATAATGACATTATAAGGTGATTTCGTAAATATTCTAATACTTTTTCTCAACTTAAAATTTATTATAATTAAATATGAGTAAAGACATTCTTATTATCAAATTTTTCTACTATCAACTTACTATAACTTTAAAATAAGTATGTACTCCGAAAAATACATTATAAGATCTTTTTTTCTCTGTTCAGAAAACCGGACTCCATCTACAAAAAATCATGCTATGGCCAAACATAATAAAAGAGATATTTGCAGGAATTAAAGAAAAGAGGAAAAAAGAAGAAGAAGAATCATATTTCAATAAATCAATACGGCAGGTAAGGTTGTGAAATGATATATTATAAAAAACAAAATACTACCATACTCATACTAATGATAGACTTATGAACTCGATTAAATAAATAAAAAAACTATGAAATATGAGAAAATATTGGAACCATCTTCAAAATTATTAAACATATTATCAAACTTGAGTAATACAGATATTAAAGAGTAAAATGGGAGAAATTATACTTATTATCAATATTGGCTTACTATTCTTACTAAATTTTTCATTACCATTAGATTAATTATAAATTAAGGTTGTTAATTTTTGTTCTCTCCTTGCTCCCTTTATTTTAAAGTTTGAGAATGTTTTAAGCAAAAGATTCTTACGGAATTTTTTTAATAAACAATTTTTTAACATAGACAATTTACGAAAACAATTAACTTTACTAAAATTAAAGTGAGTGGTATTTCCAAAAATAAAATAAAATTAAAGTGAGTGGGATTAATGCTTGTCGACCAGCAAGGAAGGAACGCACGCATAACAGAAGCGGAAAGTCAAAAGGAACAACCAGCCAGCTATTACCTTTATTGGTCTTTTCCTTTTCTTTCTCTTATTTTATTCTTCACATTTATTTTTTTATTATGCGTTAAAACTTCAACACCAAAACACCATATGGCAAGTCTAACAACAATATAAAATTATGAATCATGACCTTTGTGATTGCGCGTAGTTCTGAATTTGACTTTCAATGTTTTTTTATTATTATGAAAAATTAATACAAGTAAAATAAATTCATTTTAAATATATACTATTTTAGAAAATAAATATTCTTCATTTATCATTTTTTAAAAATTAAAATATTATTTTTTATTTTATTTTTTATTTTTGATATTTTTTAAATTAAACAATAAAACATTAATGAAGTAATAAATTCAAGTATTTTAAAATCATAATTTAGCTAAATATTATTATAATTGAAACTTTCAATTAGCAGATAATCCTTATAAAAAAACTTTATTTAGAATATCTGAAATAAATATATGAAAATAACTTTTAGATACAATAATTGTATTAAAATTTGAATTGTAACCTGGTATAAATTATCTAACTCCCTTATCACTAATTCATTTATAATGGTTAATATGTTAAAATAATATATTTGGGATTCTTGGAATTTTTTAGGGATAATAACGAAACTGTGTCTTCCTTGAAGGGGATTAATCTCACCATTTCTCTCACAATCGTTCAATGCATCCTCTATTTCAATGTGAAGCTAGTCTTAAAAGCCGTACTCCGAGAATAAAGTAGTTGGAGGAGGTTGTGTGAAGATACCTCTAGATCATCTATAAAAATAATAACAATAATAATTTGTTTAGTTATTTTACATTTGTAATAAAAAATTTAAAATTATTATACATTTGAGTTCTGCGCTTTACATGTTGGCAAAATTTCAAAATGTATTTATAGCATGTAATATAAATGTTTACTTTTATAATTTAAATATTAATATCCTTTTATAAAAAAATTCCGTATATGTATATATTTATTTATATGGCTTAAATTTTAATATGTTTCTATTTTAATTTTTTATTTTACTATTATGTAAATATTTATTGTTATCAATTATATTTAATATATTTGTAAATACTATTTTATATATCTCTGTTTAATATGTATATTTTGTTGTAATTTGGGTAATAATATATTTTAATTAAAATATTTATCATTCTACATTACAAATATTTATCTATAAAATTTAAATATTAATATATTTTCATGTAAAATTTTCATTCATCTGTAATGTAAATAATAATAAATCCCACATATGTATAAAAATAATAATAAATTATGATATAATGTATATCATAATATAACAAAATATTTTAAAACTAAAATTAACTTAATTTTATTATAAGAAATCAATTTAATTTATTTTTATAACATTTGTTTGGAAAATATGTCAATTAACAATAAAGTCTATATCATCCCAATAATTAGATCTCCGTAAAAAAAGGAAAAGATCAAATAAAAATAACAATACCCATAATCTGTAGTGTGTCATACAAAAGGTAACACTTTTATATTATCTTTATATTTGTAATTATTTTCACCTATATTCCATATTTATTTATTTTGGGTACAGAAGTTGATACTCGCACCCAAAATGAGCTCCATAATCTGATTAACTGATATGTTTTAGTGGTGTCACTATCACCCACCTAAAAAAATGGTAAAGGCAATACAGCCTTTCAAGTTTCACCTAGTAATCATATTAGAAATAATCATTTTTAATTGTCATGGAAGGATGAGAAGCGAAGGGGTTGCTTGGCAAAACAGAAATTGTTGACATGTGATTCTATTTTTTTTTTGTGATTAGAAGATTCTGAATAATA